TATATTGCAAATTGCGTGAAGTTATAAATTGAATATGAATTGAAATTATTGAAAAATGCTGGAAACTTTTAGATTATAAAGTGCTAAGGCACCAGAGGTAAATGCAAATGATAACAGTGATTGACATCATATTCTCTCACTATAATTTCAGGGGCATAAACTACAGACATTTTCTTTTTATGTAAATGTATTTATAGTATTATTTGTTCTGATAGTATTTGTACACATGTACCCTACAGCTTCTGATATATTGTGAGACCTCTAGTTTTATTTTTTAACTGTTCATTACCAGGCTTAAAAAATGTAATATCCTGTCTCTTATACACATCTAGATGTGTATAAGAGACAGGGTATTAATAGTGAGGTTCAATAACGGTAGTAGTAAGAAAAGAATGCTGTATATGCCTGTCTCTTATACACATCTAGATGTGTATAAGAGACAGACTTTGTTATATGTATTCATGTTTCACTTGTTTTTCGAATAGTTACTATTCAATAATGCATTTGGGAAAAATGGAACAGTATTGATTGTAATGATTTGATATGATCAGAACAGAAGTATAATGTACACATCACATATAAGTATATGTAATAAGTACAGCAAAAAAAGATGCTGTAGATGTGTATAAGAGACAGACTTTGTTATATGTATTCATGTTTCACTTGTTTTTCGAATAGTTACTATTCAATAATGCATTTGGGAAAAATGGAACAGTATTGATTGTAATGATTTGATATGATCAGAACAGAAGTATAATGTACACATCACATATAAGTATATGTAATAAGTACAGCAAAAAAAGATGCTGTAGATGTGTATAAGAGACAGACTTTGTTATATGTATTCATGTTTCACTTGTTTTTCGAATAGTTACTATTCAATAATGCATTTGGGAAAAATGGAACAGTATTGATTGTAATGATTTGATATGATCAGAACAGAAGTATAATGTACACATCACATATAAGTATATGTAATAAGTACAGCAAAAAAAGATGCTGTAGATGTGTATAAGAGACAGACTTTGTTATATGTATTCATGTTTCACTTGTTTTTCGAATAGTTACTATTCAATAATGCATTTGGGAAAAATGGAACAGTATTGATTGTAATGATTTGATATGATCAGAACAGAAGTATAATGTACACATCACATATAAGTATATGTAATAAGTACAGCAAAAAAAGATGCTGTAGATGTGTATAAGAGACAG